GAAAGAAGTTGTCAGAAAAAAGTGATGGGGAGATATGGGAGGAGTTGGAGGGGAGGGATTGGGTGTGGATTTGATCAAAACACCTTATATGCATGTATGAAATTCTCAATAAAGTTTTAAAAAACATTATTTATGAATGACAAAATGAAATCAGACTCCAGTATCACACTGTACTTTAAAGTCAATCCAGTGAACTGTAAACCCAGCAGTGGGCAGATGGAATGTGAAAGCCTGTGGACCCTTGGTCCCCACATCTTTTCCTAGTACCTTTATGATATCAGCATGGGAAAAGACAATTTTAAACAGCTCAGAAATTCAGTTCATTATGATTTCGTGAATTCACAAATTACGATTTTTGATTTATCATTTAAATTATAAAGAAGAGAGGCTTTAAAAAAAACAGGAAGGCATAGAATAAGGAATGATTGCCCAAAGTGAAGAGCCCTAGGGTGCACAGCCCAGTCCCGTAGTTACAACCAAAATGCCCTTCGGAGACTATGGAGCAGCCAGAGTCCACATCCAGAATGCAGCAGGGTTAGTCACTCCGGAAAACAGCTTGGCAGTTTCATAAAAAGTTAAACCCCAACCTACTGTAGCGCTTTTTTTCATACAAGAAAAAAAAGCATCAGAGACATGTTCAAGAATGTTTGCAGTAGATTTATTTGGAATATTCCAAACTGGACATAAGCACAAGTATCTATCCACATATGAATAAGTATACAGTGGTATGGATGATACAGGAAAGAAACAGTCACACACACACACACACACACACACACACACACACACAGGGTTCTTAGTCTCATTCATAAAAGAATTTAATAATAGACTCAAACAGAAGCTTTAGGACAATTTTATTAGAATTTAAGGGAAAATCCTCAGGGCAAATGAGTCATAAATCTCAGCAGCTGCCTTGAAGAGGAGAACAGAGGGAAGAAGGAAAAAGAGTCATGAAGCCATGCTGGTTTAGAGCCCACATGGAAGTCAAACAGACACCCCATGGCAGGGAAGGGAAGGGAGCTTTAGAGAAAAAGAGAGATGTTGGGACAGCCCAAAGAGTTAGGAAAGCATGTTAGAAAAGAGATATGAAGAAGAAAAGGAGAGGTTATGCTTTTCTGAAGAAGTTAGAAAAGTAGGCAAGACTTACAGAGAGCCCACATCTGTGACCAGCCAGGACCACAGGCACTGCACAAAAGGATGGGGATTCTGGGCAGGAAAAATTCAGCATCTAATTAACGTACTAGGTATTCCACCCAACTCTTTAGCATAACTTAGAGTGAACCCACTGTCCTAGGGGTGGTCCCTGACTAGGGGACCTGGCACAACTGGAAAATTGGGTCTTTCCCTAGATCACATATTTTTATACTCTTGACCAGTTTTAAGGTGTTTTTTTGTTTGTTTTGTTTTGTTTGCTACTGTGATATATCCACACAAAGGAATATTACTCAGGAGTAAAAAAGAACAAGCTCTTGATAAGGAAAGCAACCTAGGAAAAAATCTCAGAATTATATTATGTGAAAAAAGTCAGACCAAAAAACAGTACCTGCTTTGATTTCACTTATACAACATTCTGAAAATGAGATCAAATTATAGACAAGCAGTCGATCAGTAGTCCCATGAAGATGGTGTGAAGAGAGGGCAGAACAGGCAATGACTAGAAAGGAAACCTCAGAGTCATGAAACTGTTAAATTAAATTAGCCATTTAAACATTAAATTAACCATAACGGTGATGGTTTTAAGGAGGTATGTGTGTGTCAAAGCTCATCACACAACAGATCTTAAATACATCAGTCATACTTCAGTAAGGGAAAATAAAACATAACGTGAAAGGGAAATGGATAGAAAGAACAGTTTAATAAGTAGAGAAAGACCGTGCGATGATTTGTTTTTATTAGAAGACACCTCACACATCTGACAAGGATCACAGAGTTTGCAGGGGCTGGGGATGTCACTAAGTGAGTAGAGTGCTTGCCTAGCATGCATGAAGCCCTGGGTTGGGTCCTCAGCACTTCATAAACCAGGCATGTAGGCACACCCAGCAGTTTGGAGTTGGAGGCAGGAAGATCAGGAGTTCAAGGTCATCTTCAGCCACAGACTGAGTTCAGAGTCAGTCTGGGCAACTTAAGACCCTGTCAAGAATGAGAGAGAGAGAGAGAGAGAGAGAGAGAGAGAGAGAGAGAGAGAAATTACAGTGGTAATCTAAGATACCACCCAACTGGGGAAAAGAATTCACAGCAATTTGCACCCAATTTTGTTCTTCCTCTAAGAAACTGAGAAAGGCAGCCCCCTCAGGCTCCCCGCCCACAGTGGTGCTGGTGGCCCAGCACTTACCTTCAAATAACAAAATGAGTCATGACACGATTGTAAATCTGAATATTTTGTTAGATGTTAGTCTTTCCTGTAGGTAAACATTTAGCAATTTTGAGTGACATAAATTCATGTCAGTGAAAAATACTTGGGGGAGGGAGAGCTAGACCATAATCCACAGTGTGAAATGTGATAAATCTAAACAGTTCCTCTAGGAAGTACTGGGGTGCTACAAGTGTGGGCCTGACAACAATGCCTGGATCTAAGTGAAGAGCTCTGAGGGAATTCGATAGTCTGAGAACTACCCATTTTTCTAGACTCTGAAATCAGATTTCCCTTGCTGAGGATAAAGCTTAAAGAAATAAAACTGCAGGTTCCTGCTTACCCCAGTCAGCTTTAACTGTCAACTTGGCACAGTCTAGAGTCATCTAACAGGAGAGCATCTAACTCATCATCAGTTGAGGGTTTCCTAGACAAGGGCATATCTGTGGGGGGTTGTCTTGATTGCTCATTGATGAAGGGTCCAGCCCACTGTAGGTGGCACCACTCCTATTTGGGGAGTCCTGGCCATATAAGAAAGGTAGTTGAGCATGCACTTGTGCATGAAGGTGGTTTCCTTCAGTGATAACCTGTAACCAGTAAACTGAAATAAACCCTGTCCTCCCCTAAGTTGCTTTTGGTCAGAGAGTTTTTATCACAGCAAAGGAAAGGAAACTTGAACACTGCCTTATCACTCTTTGATTCCTCCCCAGTTCAGTCCTTGTCCACTTAGGAGAGGACATTCAGAACAGGTTCCGCAGGTCCAGGACATGATGGTGATGGTGTAGGGATTGTGGTCTTTCCCAGAATCCTCCACTGATGTAACCACACCAATCTCATCCACTTCACCCCTGAGATCAGTGTCACCCTCTTCAGTGTCCTCCCCATGTCTTCCCAGTTCTGTATGCTGACACAGACATCGAACTGGCCATGTGACAGGCAAGAAACAATGTCTTGTTTAAGTTAAACACACACACACACACACAAGAAAAGGGAGCTTGGTGTGGTGATGCACACCTGTAATCCCAACACTCAGGAAACATAGGCAAGTTGATCTCTGTGAATTCAAGGCCAGCCTGGTCAACATAGCAAGCCCCAGGCCATGGCTACATAGTGAGACCTTGTCTCAAAAAGACAAAAATCAAACAAACAAACAAAAACCACTACCACAAAAACAGTAACAAAGAAATCAGGAAAAGAAAATAATGGGAGAAGGCTTGATCTTTTGTAGAACTTTCTAGCAGATTAAACAGATAACATCCAAAAGTTAAAGCTAAGAAAAGGAGATATAAACATTGATGATTCAGAAGTATGATCTCTTAAAAAATGATCAGCAATTGTGTCTAACTTTGGTTTTCTCCCTCTAGCCAACTACCTGTAGCAGAAAACCATTCGCAAGTTAACATTTTAATATCTGAATATAACACATGTGCATACTGCATATATATTTAAGTAATTTAGAAGTATTTTTTCCCTTGATCTGACTGGTGAAATAAAACGTAGGATCCAGTATGGTCCAAAGTATAAGAGCAAGGCTTCTGTTTGGTGTCCGCAGGCTGTGTCGTGTTGAAACCTAGGCCACCATGAGATCCCATAGAGACCCTTAGCACTAGCCCTGCTTTGCGAGGCCCTGTGAAATAGGGAATAGTGGGGGGCTCACTGGGGAGCTGGGAAATGCTGGGGAGCTCAGTCAGGAGCTTGGTGGGGAGTGTAGTATGTCTATCTGAGTTTGTGAAAAGGGACTTTATGTCTCTCGTGTGTAGAAACCCGTATTCTTCCCATGGTCATACATGTACACTAATCACTACAAGCACCACCTTTGTCTCTGTCTCCCTGAAATGCCCACCTGGAAGCTAGCAAGAGAACTAGTGAATGGTCCATTTGGGGTGCACCAGTGCGGATATGTTCTGCACAAGGAACAACAGGTGGAGGGTTAGCATCCCACCATCGACTCCCATGGTGATGGCTGCTGAGGGAAGCCATGAAGAGCCAACCTCACAGTTGGTCTTCTCTTTCCAGAAAGAAGTCCTGAAATCAGATCTTGTCATTTGCTCAGCAGCTGCTGTCCTCTCGTTTGCAGTCAGTGCCAGCACCGTGTTCCTGTCCTTACGAGTAGGTTCTTAGTTTTTGTCTTTTCTTCCTGGTGTGGAGTGAGGGCACAGAAAGGCAGAAGAGCCAGGGGTATGGACATGGGACAAGAGGGTTAGGAGTGTACCATATGCTGAAAACTGCATCCAAGAGGGAATTTGGGACACATCCCCTGTGTCAGCTCCCTGGGGAAGTTTTTAGCCCCAAGAGCCATGAAACAGCTATGATTGAGGAGAGTTGGTGTGATAGGCTGAGAGCAGACTCCAGACAGAAGGTGCTATTACAGCAGAGACAGAGGTCGCAGAGGCAAATGGATCATTTGGGCATTTTCAGTGAGAGCAAACAAAAGCGGAGACCAGATGGGCCACTGTCTTGTGGTTCTTACAGACTGTTACATCTCTGTTCACAGCATGGGACACTCACAGTCACGTCTTCCACCAGCTAAGCATGCTGTTCTCTAGCTCTCCTTCTCAGGGAGACTGAGGGTGTCTTGCAGTGGACAGAATTCTCCTGGCCTCTTCCTTCCAGGGGCCATTTCCTCAATGTCTTAGCAGCTCTCAGTACATGAATCCTCTCCCTTAAGAGCGAAGAAGGGGCCTGGAGAGATGGCTCAGTCATGAAAGTGCTTGCTTTCTCGCAAACACAGGGACCTGTTGAGTTCCATCCTCAATACCCACATAAGAAAAACAGACATGATAGAACATGCTTGTAATCCCAGTGGTGGGAAGACAGAGACTGGAGGATCCCCAGGTCTCACTGGCAAGTCAGCCTCGTCTATGTAATGAGTTCCACGCCACTGAGAGACTGTTTCAAACAACGAGGTGAACGACATCTGAGGAGTGGCAGCTGGGGTCATCTTCTGGCCTCCACATGCAAGTTCACACACATGAATATGCACACACATGAACATGCACATGCACATTTTTAAAAAGAGAGAAAGGAAGGGATGATGGTGGCTGTCAGGGGTGATGGTGGATGTCAGGGGTGATGGTGGATGTCAGGGGTGATGGTGGATGTCAGGGATGATGGTGGATGTCAGGGGTGATGGTGGATGTCAGGGGTGATGGTGGATGTCAGGGGTGATGGTGGATGTCAGGGGTGATGGTGGATGTCAGGGGTGATGGTGGATGTCAGGGGTGATGGTGGATGTCAGGGGTGATGGTGGATGTCAGGGGTGATGGTGGATGTCAGGGGTGATGGTGGATGTCAGGGGTGATGGTGGATGTCAGGGGTGATGGTGGATGTCAGGGGTGATGGTGGATGTCAGGGGTGATGGTGGATGTCAGGGATGATGGTGGATGTCAGGGGTGATGGTGGATGTCAGGGGTGATGGTGGATGTCAGGGATGATGGTAGATGTCAGGGGTGATGGTGAATGTCTGGGGTGATGGTGGATGTCAGGGATGATGGTGGATGTCAGGTATGATGGTGGATGTCAGGGGTGATGGTGAATGTCAGGTATGATGGTGGATGTCAGGGGTGATGGTGAATGTCAGGTATGATGGTGGATGTCAGGGGTGATGGTGAATGTCAGGTATGATGGTGGATGTCAGGGGTGATGGTGAATGTCAGGTATGATGGTGGATGTCAGGGGTGATGGTGAATGTCAGGTATGATGGTGGATGTCAGGGGTGATGGTGAATGATGGTGAATGTCAGGGGTGATGGTGAATGTCAGGGGTGATGGTGAATGTCAGGGGTGATGGTGGCTGTCAGGGATGATGGTGGCTGTCAGGTATGATGGTGGATGTCAGGGGTGATGGTGGATGTCAGGTATGATGGTGGATGTCAGGGGTGATGGTGAATGTCAGGGATGATGGTTGGGTATATGTGTTACTCAGGAGCACACACCACTGATCTTGACCTCGTTCTCCTCTTCAGCCTTTCCTCAGCATTGTGCTCTTCGCCTTGGCGGGCTCCGTGGGACTTGTCACCCACCACCTGCTCCCTCAGCTCCGCAAGCACCACCCTTGGATGTGGGTTTCACATCCTGTGCTTAAGAGCAAGGAGTACCAGCAACGAGAAGCAAAAGGTGAGTGCTTCCATCTTGCAAGGGACAAAGGCACGGTAAGCACTCAACTGGGTTCAGGTGTGCCACCCTGTGAGCGTGCTTAATGCCTCAGCACAGCACACTTCAGAGGACATGGGGTGTACTGGGTGTGCTTGCCCATAATGATAAAAAATGAATGTGTTCATACTTTGGAGTATAGGGATTGCCGCAGATAGGCTGGTCAGCCAGATAATAGTGAGGAAGACTAACAAATTAGATGTGTACTCTATGAAAATATTCATTGCTTATACTGGTTTTGTATGAAAATAAACTTCTGTTGTCTATTCTTGAATGTGATGATTCTGATTTATGTTGTACAGATACTAAGAACACTCCTGTACCTTTCTTCGTACTTAACCATTAACTGCCATGCTCTGGACTTCCGAGTTTTCATTAACTAGCCTTGTTTAGGTAGCAGTGGTGCCTGCGTTGGGCTGACTTAGCTATTCCTGTGGGATAAATAGCTTGGCGATTGTGGCAACTTCAAGGACTTTAGATAAGAAACGTTTCTTCTAGGCACCAGGATATAGCTCCATTGGTAGGATGTTTGCTGACCATGTATGAGGAGCTGGGTTCCACCCCAGCACCACATAAACAGGATGTGGTGGTGCATACTTGTTATTCTAGCGCTTAGGATGTAGAGGTAGAGGATCAGAAGTTCAGTGGCATCCTCAGCTATGTAGTTAACTTCAAGGACAGCCTGGGCTACATGAGACCTAGTTCTAAAAAGAAAATAACAAAGTTTATTTTTTTCTAGATAAGGACTCTTGAAAACTTGTCCATGGGTTCTCCTTTCACCCAGCAATTCTCTGCTCTATCTGAATATATGGGCAAATGACTGACTTGTTCCTTTTTTCAGGCATTTCAAGTCATTGGCCACAGTTCATTATTGTCCTGTGCTGCTGGGCCTGCACACAACCATTCAGCCTGCTGTGACCTCTTGGTTATTGTGCATTTTCCAGTTTTTCCTGTTCAGGCACCAGGTGTGTGACAGCATCAAAGTCACTGACTTGAAGAAGGTTCTAGAAGCAGCAACTTGAGTGGCCTAAGGTGACAAAAGGAAAGGAGAGAGTGTAACAAAAAGAAAGAAAGCAGAAGAAGTAGGTATTGAGGGTGCTATGCAGCATGGAGATCCTGCATCAGGGATGGCTCTGGGTGGGGACCAGGACCTTTCTAGTTCACAGACGATCCAAGGGGGAAAAGTGTGGGTAGTGAATGAGGAAGTGTGTCCTAAGCCTTTAGCTTAGGTGGAGAAGTGAAAGTTGGTGACCCAGGCTTCTATTCCCATGGGCCTCCCCAAAGGAAAGCCCAGCTGAAGAATCAAGCTGATATGCTGTTTAGTGTTCTTAACAATTCTGAGTGCTACCAAATGCAAATTATTATCATCTTATAAAAATAACCTGAAGAAGACAGGTTTCTTTTGTAAAAATTCATTTCATGGCTTATAGAGAAAGATCCCAACCCCAGCACGTGCTGACACTGACAGTGGAGGAGCCAGAGGATGAGTTTCTGCAAGAATTCTATGTTGCTGAACTTGTTTTCATGTTTAGTGGTAAAGCTTTTGAAAGACTGATTTGGTGTTTTTAAAGATTACCGTTTTGGTCTCTTTGGTGAGTTGATAATAGAGATTAAAGGTGAAAAGATTTAACCCAGGGAACTGTGTATCTGTCACTCACACACGGGCCTAAGCAGTCTTTAACAGCCCCAGGATACACATCAGAGACCAAACCCAAATGGGATAGAAGGAGCTGAAACAAAAACTGAAGGTGTAAACAACCCATTCATTGATTATAGCAGAAAATTCTCCAAACTAGGGAAAGAATTGCACATCAAACATAAGGGGTATATGAAGGTTTACAGCCGACCCATGTCTCATAAGTTAAGTCTTTCCAATCAGATAATATCTTCATTACACATTGCTGCAACAAAAAACCTGACTGAAGCAACGTGCAGAACTAAGGGTTTATCTTGTGAGGGTTCAGTCCATCGTGGTGGGAAAGCATGGCAGCAGGAGTGTGAGGCAGCTGATCACATTGCGTTTGCAGTCAGGAAGCAGAGAAAGATGAATGCTGGTGCTCAGATCACTTTCTCCTTTTTATTCAGTCCAGGACCCCAGCCTGTGGAATGATGCCATCCACCATTAAGGAGGATCTTCCCACCACAATTAATCTAATCTAGATAATTCCTCACAGACACACCCAGAGACTATCTCCAGGTGATTATAGACACTATCAAGTTGACAATTGATATTAGCCATCACAGATGGATATGTAGATAAACTATAAAAGTACATGGGATCATGGAACCAAGTGCTAGATTGACATCTGGTACATGGGAGTTATCCAGAAGATGTTATTGAATGAACAGATGAATGCCCATCACATTGTAAATTCACAGAAGGAAGGAAGGTTCTCTATGATCTGGTATTGCAGAAAACCCTCTGGCAGTGGAGGGGAGGTCTAAGGATTCATGGGCACCGGTCTGGCTCAGCACTAGGAGATAAGCTGGTTGCTAAGAGACTTAAACTATAATTTTTGTATGCATTAGAATAAATGCATAAGCATTATGTAAATTCTAAAACATGTCAATTAAAAATCTTATTTAAATAGTAATTTTTAAAAATATGTATTAATAATTCACCAATGAGCCCCAAATTTGCAGTTCTCCAATGATATCTACCTCACACTATAATGAAGCTTGTCTCCCTGCCACAGACAGACTGGCTTCTGCGTGTGATAGACATGGCTTGAGGGATGCTGCGTTCTCTAATGTATCTTTCACTTATGTCAAAATAATTCCGTGTTAGAAACCAAATAGAACAAATGGTAATGAAAAGTAGCCGCTGCCTGTCAGTTGTGCCCCCTCCCATCTTTGATTCCTCCTTTCCAGGAAAAAATGTTTCTTCCCCTTTAGATAGTGCCTTTGATTTGCTATAATTCTTCCAAATAATGCTAGCGCATAGTTCTGTGCCTCTGGCATGTCTGATTCACTTATCTATCAACTTAAGAAAGAAGAATTTCACTCTCCTAATCTGGCTGCTCCCCTGGTTTGCTTGGGAGCTTATCTCCCTGTGTCAGGCTCCACAAGACACAGGGCAGCAGCAGGTGACAGCAGTAAGCTGTGTTCTTGCTGCCACAGAAATGGACGAGGCACAGAATATAGTTATCTCTGTTCTAGAACAAGGTTGTAGGAGTTTGGGGGAAGCTGAACTTAAGAGAAAAAAGATTTTGGGGGTTCATGGTTCCAGAGGTTTCAATCCATTGTGGCTGGAAAGGCATGGCAGAGCAAATCGGTCGTGGTGACAGGAGTGTGGGGTGGAGGCTGTTCACTATGGCTGACCAGGAATTGGGCGGTGAGATTGGAACCAGGGGCCAGACATTACCTTCAAAGGACTGCCTCTAATGAACCACTTCCTGCAGCTAGGCCCTATCTCTTGAAGGTTCCACATTCTCCCTAAACAGCACTATCAGGCCAGGCCAAGTGTTCAAACGTGTGCACCTGTGGGAGACAGATAAGATTCAAATATTAACAAGGACATAATTTCATTAGCACTGAACTCATGGAAAAATTGGTGGGATAGTTTGGGGGAAGTGAACAGTTTTTAAGACAACTTTTGGGACTAGATAGATGGCTCAGTGGTTAAGAGTACTGGCTACTCTGACAGAGGACACAGGTTCAATTCCCAGAACCCACATGATGACTAATAACCATCTGTAACTCCAGTTCCAGGGGACTTTGACACCCTCATCTGACCTCATCAGGCATTGCATGACATTGGTGCACTTACATAAATGCAGGCAATACACTCACACACATAAAATAAAAATAATAAATAAAATATATTTTTTATAAAGACAACTTTATCAGATGAATTCTATATGTAGTCAAGATTTAAAATGCTATTAAAATGAATAAAGGAAGAGAGGGAGGGAGGAAGAAAGGAAGGAAGGAAAAAAGGGAGGAAGAGAGAGTGGGAAGGAAGGAGGGAGGGACAGAGGAGGGAAGGAGAAAGAAAACCAGAGAGAGAGAGAGAGAGAGAGAGAGAGAGAGAGAGAGAGAGGAGAGAATGGTGGTGGAGTTCTATCATCTCTTTTGGAGGCAAGAAAAGAAATTTTCTGAACATGACTTCAAACTGAACAGCCACCAAAGAGATAAGGGACATTTTGAACTCCCCAGAAACAGTGAACTCAGATGTGTGATTCCCTTTTGTTATTCCTACTGACTTTTCCTTTTTTGGTAAGCTCACCATGGTGTCAAAACTGATCATACTTACTATGTCAAAAATATAAAATACCTGCCATGTGTCAGGACAATGTGAGATGCAGGGGTCAGGAGGTGAACCCACTGGGAAATCAGCGTACCGTGGCCAGGAGTCTATTCCAACCACACCATGCAGGTAGCCTTGTATAGAAACTTTTCCCCTGGCTTTGTTCTCCCAGGTGACCTCTTTAGTTAAGTCCTTAAATCATCAACGGACCAGCTGTGTGGCCTCCCTTTCAATGGTTGGCTAACAAGAAGAAAGGGCAATGCCACATGTGCCTGGTGAGCAGTGGACAGAGATGGATATTCACCCAGAAGGCCATGTGCATGAGTCATGTTTAAGTTAGAATGATGAGAAATGCTGGAGAGAACCACAGAGTCCTAATTCAGATGGAAGGAAGAGGAGAAGGGCCACTGAACTTTAGAGGAGACACCAAGGAGGCCTTCAGGAACACTCTAAAGTCCACCATTAAAGAAGAGGAAAAAGACCTCCAGGTATGGGATGATCCATGAGAAGCACCAGATGAGAATGATCTTATGGCCTCAAGGCTCAGGGACCACTGAAGAAGAGGAGGCAGAAAAACTGTAAGAGCCAGAGATTGGGGAGGACTGGGTAAAACGCTTCTGCACATGACAGGACCCCTGCACTCATGAGCTCACAGCAGCTATGGCTGCCTGAACAAGACCTGCACAAGATCAAGCCAGTCAACATGCCAGCATGG